GTCCCAAAGTAATCTCTGCAAGCACCTCTGAGAGAAAGCCGCCCTCAAGTTCTGCCTGATGCCAGACAGTCCAGTTTCTCCCCGTATGAGTCTGGGTCCCCAGAGACTCACCCGGGACTGGAGTTCAGAGCAGTCGGGAGCTTGAGACTCCCTCCCAACTGAAAAAGACAACCGTGTCCTGAGCTGCCAGCCCTTTCGGCGTGCGCCTCTGCACCTCTGCACTTTACTTCCGCACCTCCTCTGAGTCTCAGTGCTTTTCTCTTCCCTTCTAGTTGTAGAATTTCCATTCAACCAGCCTTCCTGTGGTTCTAGAAGTGTTTATTAACTTGAAACTTAGTTGTCCCCGAACCTCACCTGCAACCGTATTCAGGCCCTTGTGTGTGTGAGCATGCATATTTTTCTAGAGTTCTCAGCTTTCCTGCGATTCAGAAGGAGGCCTATGACCCATTCACAAAACACAACGAAGTGGCAGCACAGGACTGCTGAGCGCCCCCCTGCCCTGCACACTTGACCTTATGTGAGCTTTGTACAAGCAGCTGGCTCGGGGCTGTTTGCCTTCAGAGAGGCCAGGCTCCAGAGCAGTGGCTTTCCCAGGGCATAGCCAGTCAGCACGCGCTGCGCGGGGCCTGCTGAGGGGCCCCCATTCTTAACCTGAGGACCCTGAGGAGTGAGTAGACACCCCAGAGCCATGTTTTCCTGTGGCGTCTACACTGCCTGTGGGTGGTCGCTGCTCAGACTCACTCCTGCTCTCAAGCTCCCATCATGTGCGGTTCAGGGAAAAGCGAGCACAGATTCTAGTGCATTCGTTTCTGACAAAAGCATAACTAAGCTGAAATTTACTCCCTTTCAAGGAAAAGTGAAATAGCTGCTTCTAATTTTTATTTTAGAAAGAAAAAATTTTAATAGCCCTCGTTTTTGTTTTTCTTTTAACTAAACAAGAAAATTATGAAGTGGTTCTTTCTCCCTTTCCAACCTTGGCTTCATCCCCATCTGCTTTTCCTCCCTGATGGGGTATGTAGACCCTGGTATTGACCAGTGAGCTGGGAAGTGGGAGTTGATTAATTCATAGGTTTGGTTGCACCTGGGACAGTCAGGGGCAGGAGGGGAGACAGTGAGTGTGCGATGTCCACCTGCTCTCTCCCCAGAGGCACAACCTGGCAGTGTGGCCAGGCAGAGCTCGGTCCTGCTGCCAGCCTTGCAGTTGTCTTCGCTCAGGTACTGGGCTGTGGAATTCTGGTTCTAGAACCTCCTTCCCCATTTCCCATGGTCACCTTCTCACCCCGTGAACGTTCAGTGCCTGCCTGAGCAAGACCTCACCAGCTCTTACCAAGCACATCACGGCCTCGCCCAGCCCTGGGACCACACTCGCCCGTGCTACAGAGGCAGGTCTGCCCCAGAGGACAGGCCCCGGTGAGGGAAGCAGGGAGGGTCCCCTTCGCAGGGACAGGCCAGAGAGACCCGAAGGTCCATGTGGACCAGGGGAGTGACACAGCCTTTCCCAGAGTGCTGACCTTGGAGAAATGACCAGGCGGACACTTGGATGCTGGAGCCAGCCTGCCTGAGCTGGAGCCCTGGCCTCACTACTCTCTGTGTGTCTTCGGGCAAGTTCCTTAACCTCTCTAAACTTTATTTTCCTTTCCTGCACAGTAAGAATAATGTGTGTGCCTATTTTGTCCATTAAATGAGACCGTCCTTCGTGCTGGCACATCATGGGGGCTGACAACTATTAGCTGACATCATCATCACCGTCGTCGTTACGGGTTGAATTGTATCCACTTCCCAAAAGCTGTTGAAGTCCGAACCCCCAGTATCGTGAAGGTGACCTTGTTTGGAAATGGGTCTTTGTAGATTATTAAATGGGGATGAGGTCATTAGGGTGACTCCTGGACGCGGAGACAGACACACAGAGGGGAAGGCGATGTGAAGACACGAGGAAGCTAAGTAGGAAGGGAGCACGGGGCAGTCTCCCTCGGGACCTTGGGAGGAACTGTGAAGTGGGAAGTCATTCTGAGACGTAATCATACCAGGTTTTATAGGCATTAGACATTCCTTTTTGGGGGGTTTTCTTTTCTGTCCAAGTATGTTGTCCACCTCAGACCAATTATGCCAGCACCTTGAGCTTGGACTTCTGGCCTCCTGAACGATGAGACAGTAAATTTCTGTTCGCTAAGCCACCCGGTTTGGGGTACTAGGAAGTCAATACAATCATCATCATCATCACCCACAACAGCATTTACCTCTGGGTGTACCTCCTCATGCTCCTGAAGGAAGGAGAACCCTCTACATCAAAGTCAAATTACTGTTTCGCAAAGTGACGATATGATCAGGTTCAGTTCGGCAGCAAGGAGGGGCTGAGCTCGGCCTTCTCGGTGCTGCTGGTTAAAGGTTCAGTAGGCACAGCCACGCTGACCCACGGCCATCCTTCTACCAGGGCACCAGCACTCGGAGGTATTCCAGCTGCCGCTTTCTGCCTGTTCTCCACGGTACCCACTCCTGGCTCCCCCCAAAGAAACATGTTGCATTTTCTTTCTCATCATAATCACCTGAGTTTGTCTTCCCTAATTGCCTGTGGTGTTTGCCCTCCTGTTAGGTGATTGTGCTGTCCACGCGCCTCCTGAAGCCACTCACCATGCCTGAGCTGCTATTTGCCACTGACCGGCTGCACCCAGACCTTGGCCTCTGAGCATCTCCTGAGAGAATGCGACCTCCCGAGATGGAAATACCCGTCCATCAGCTGCCGTCATTCCAGATAAGCCCCCAAAGCCGGTGTCCCTGGTACCAGGGGTCTGTATGGCTGAATTCTGCCCAGAGGTCTTGAGAACCACCCAGTGAAGTCGTTTGCTTGGATTCCTGTGATTCCCTTTAAAAAAAATTATTTTCATTCTTCTAAAGGCGTCAGACTGTCTTTCGGCTGGCCTGATTCGTAATAATTCCCACGTATTCTTAATCCGCTACGTGTGATCTTCCTGATTCCACCTGCACGCTCAGTCATTTTAAATAAGTGCTCGTTGTGAGTGTTGGTAGATGGATGACAGGCCCTTTGATCTGCAGTTGCTCAGAAAGAAGTGAGACAAGCTTTAGATTATAAATGTGAGGAAAGTTTGTGTGCATGTGTTTTTTCTCTCTTAGGATTATGTTACTGAGGAGGGAACATTGCAAAGAGCATCTGAGGCTTTGTTTCTGTCTTGATCTGAGAGATTTTTGCAAAGGGGAGGCAGGGCGGGGATGGGCCAGGGTTGCTCTGGTTGTCAATGGGCCGCCACGACAAAGGGCTGCCTTGTCCAGGCCTGCACACTCGCGGGCAGGGCCACCGCCTCCTGGAACCTGGTGGGAGAGAGGTTGATTGGATGGCTGACTGTGCCTGGAAAAGGTTCCCTCCCTAAAGAAGGCCCCAATAAAGACATCTGGTCCCAGGGAGTGCACATTTGAGCCCCAACCCCAGAGACTTTTGTGATTTAGTTTCCATTGATATATAAAGCTGTCTTTTCTATAAGTCTAAATTTTCCTTCTGGCCATAGCAGAAAAGCCTAGACCCACCTAGTGAAATTATGTAAGAATTCTGGCAGAAATGAACCCACACATTTGTAGGTGTGTAGTTGGTGGATATTTCTAGCATCTCTAAAACGTGTTTATAATGCAGAGATGAACCTGAAACATGGTGTCTAGTGTGGAGGAAATAAAATGTAAATCAAAACACATCTCAGTTTTAGTTCTCGACAAAACGCTGTCATTTTATGAAAAACCTGTGAAGTGGGAAATCATTCTGAGATGAAATCCAACCAGGTTTTATAGGCACTAGACATTCTTTTTCGTGGAGGTTTTTTTTCTGTCCAAGTATATTGTCCACCTCAACCAGTTCTTTAATGATGCTCAATATTGGAGACCTCAGATGCTTCTAGATGTGTGAACCTGAATAAGAAAATGGCAGAAGTCACTATTTTCTCAAATAAAATTTAAAAAATTAAGAAGGAGCCTGCGGTGTGTCTCAGATCCTTCATTCACCAGTCATTCCATTCATTCCCAGATATTGTGTGATACTGGCTCCGGCCACGGTGGTGAATGAGCCCAAGGCGTCCTGGCCCAGCGGCTCTCACGAATGAGCTGCTGGTGCTTCTCCTGATGGCCAGGCCCAGTGTGAGTGTCTGCTCAAGGTTAGCTTTTAAACCATATGTCTATCTGCAAAGGAAACTCCGGGAATATAGAAACCAAACTGCTGCCCTAGCTGGTTTGGTTCAGTGGATAGAGGGTCGGCCTGTGGACCAAAGGGTCCCAGGTTCGATTCCAGTCAAGGGAACATGCCTGGGTTGCGGGCTCTGTCCAATGTACAGGAGGCACCCAATCAATGATTCCCACTCATCATTGATGTTTCTCTCTCTTCCTCTCTCAAATAAATAAATAAATAAATATAAATAAACTAGGGGCCCAGTGCACGAAATTCGTGTTAAAGAATAGTTGTAATTACTTAAAGAAACAATCACAGTAGTCATTGCTATACTACTATTTTACTCTTGTTTTTAAATCTAGGTTTCTCACAATATGTTGGAAACTATATTAAAAAAA